GGATTGAGATCATGGGTAACCTTTAAGCAGAAGGTGAACCAGGTGGATATTCTAGTAGCAAGGCCAAGAGGCTGGCAGTTAGTCATGGCTCCTGTGATCAGCTTCCCGAGGGGATCTGCAAGAAGGAAGTTTCTGGATGATGAAACTTAACCCTTGAAGTACAGTCATGGATCACTTAACAATGGGGATACATGCTGAGAACTTCATTGCTAGGCAATTTTGTCATTGTGCAAACATCTTGGAATGTGCTTACCCAAACCTAGATGGTCTAGCCTACCACACAGCTAGGTTATATGGTATAGCCTGTTGCTTCTGGGCCACAAACCTGTACAGCATGTTACTGTTCTAAATACTGTAACACAAGGGCAATTATAACACAATAGTACGTATTTGTGTATCCAAACAGATCTAAACACAGAAAAGGTACAATTTAAAATATGGCATAAAATATAAAAAAGTGTATGCCCATATAGGGCAGCTACCTTATAATCTTATGGGACCACAGTCGTATGTGTGGCCTGTCATTGGACCAAAACGTCATTATATGGTGCATGACTGTACCACAGTTTTTTATTATTTTCCCCGTTTTGTTGGAAAATATCCAAAAATGTATAGCCTACTTTCCAGTCTTGTTAAGCAGAACATATCAAACACTGTAACTCACCTTGGCTACTGTTGACCAAGTGTTTTCACCTTCAAGAGCCTGTGGAATCTTGCCGGCATTCTGTCGGGGGCCAGAATCATTGTCTGTACCTCTCTGGTGGAGGAAGCTGAGGCTCAGGTAGTTTAAATCTGTCAGGAAGTGGCGGAACAGCTCCAACCCCTTTCTTTGACATAGGCTCCTGAGTTCGTTGCTCTCCACCCTTGCAGTCTCTTGCACAATGCTACCTTTCCTTGGCAACTCGCAGTCAATAATTGTGCTCCAGGTGCACTAGTTTGATGTGGATGGAGTCAGCTGCCCCAACACACAGTGGCCCAGGCTCCTAGGCTTCGTTGATTATCGCTTTAATCACCCCTCTCTTACCTTCCTATTAAGAGAAGCTGCTCTAACTCCATTCCTGTCTGGCTGCTGGGCCTGATAAATGAAGCTGAGCAGCCTGTTGGAATTGCATCTAAAATAAGAGTCTAAGAGTGTTGTGATACTTGCTTCACTGCTTGGGTTGTTTGGGGTTTTGTCTTCTCGGTGGTGTTTTGGATAGACATGGAAGCAGGAGAGCTTTCAAGGATTAGGAGTGCCAGCTTTGGAGTCAGACACACCTGGGGTTAAGTCCGCGACCCGTCAGTTTGCAGGGCAAATGACCTGACCTGTGCCAGCTTCAGTTACCCGTATTGGTAAACTGGAATTAATTGTATATGTCTCATTGGGAGGATTCAAAAGGATTCAAGGAGAATCCTGATTCACATCCTGTGCTTAGCCTCCTGTTGGTATTCGAGGGGTTGCAGTTATTGTTTTTATTTCTGTAACTTGAAGTATGATAAGATTCTTATCACTCATTCTCTCATTCATTCATGCCTCAAATATTTATTTACTGCCCGTCTCTCCATGCCTAGTTTCCTTATCTGCAAAACGAGGGTAATAATGGCACTTATCTAGCTGGGAGATGTGAAGATTTAGTGAGTAAATATATGCTCTGAACCCCTGCAAGACATAACGTAAGTGTGATATATACGTTACCCATCATCGTCAGTAGTATTAGTTCGTGCCAGGCACTGTGCTAAGAAGGCACTAGGGATAAAGAGGTGAACAAAACAGACATGACCTCTGTCCTTAATGAGCTTGCAGGCTCCATCCACCTTGTTTTCTCTATGGGGAGGAAAGCCAACCAGTGTTTCATCACTGTTGATAAAAGCTGAATTGATGGGTCCAGCAAATGACCCAGATGGTGGCTCCTAAAGACCCTGCAACTTACTGGCTGCTGCCCTAGGGGCTGGCGTGGGAGGCAATGCCATGCTTTCTACATTCTTGCCTCTCATCAAACCTCTGGCCCTCTGGTCCTGTGCTCTTGCTTTAGCTTCAGCACAGTTCTAGGCAGCCCCAAATGACTTATCAAATGGAGAGAACCATGCCTGAGTCATAGCTGTGAAGGTCAGTGCATGAAAATGCCCTCAAACCTTCAAAATGCCACACGAACGAGAGGTCTAGGCAGAGAGACTGGCAAGGAGGAAGAGCACTGGATTTGGAGAAAGGGACCAGAGTTTAAGTCCTGGCCCACCTCATAGCTGTGTAGATTTTTTCAGGTTACTTCGCTCTCTGAGACTTGGTCTCCTCCTCTGTCAAATGTGAATGTGATAGAACCCGCCTGGTAGGGTTGTAGTGAGGAGTAAACAGGAGCAGAGCATAAACTTAAGGGGAATTTAGGCCTTCTCAAATACCACGTCTCCTGGGAAGATTTCTGTGACCTTCTCAAGAAAGTTCACTGCTCCTTCCTCTGAGCTCAGAGGCATTTATTTATACAACCACTGGAGCAGTGCTCCTCACTCCACATGGATGCAGACTGAGGTCCCTAGAAACAGACTGACACAAAAAAGTATGTTGCTGGGAGGTTCCAGGAGATACAGCTGTTGGGAAGTGAGCAAGGGAAGAATGGGGAGAGGGAGAAGCTGACATGCAAGGGATAAACTGACACAGAGGGAGAAGCTAACACAAAAGGGAGAAGCTGGAACAGAGGGAGAAGCTGACACACAACAGAGAAACTGGCACAGAGGGAGAAGCCTATGCACAAGGGAGAAGCTGACAAGAGGGAGAAGCTGAACACACAGAGAGAAGCTGACACACAAGGGAGAAGCTGACACAGAGGGAGAAGGTGACATACAAGGAAGGGAGAAGCTGACACACAGAGAGAAGCTGACATAGAGGGAGAAGCTGACACACAAGGGAAAAGTTGACACAGAGGGATAAGCTAACACACACACACACACAGAAAACCAACATAGAGGGAGAAGCTGATACAGAGGGACAAGCTAACACACACACACGCACAAACTGACATAGAGGGAGAAGCTGACACAGAGAAGCCAACACAGAGGGAGAAGCTGACACAGAGGGACAAGCTAACACACACACACAGAGAGAAACTGACATAGAGGGAGAAGCTGACACACAAAAGGGAGAAGCTGACACAGAGGGAGAAGTTGACACAGAGGGAGAAGCTGACACACACCCACAGAGGCCAACATAAAGGGAGAAGCTGACTCAGAGGGACAAGCTAGCACACACACACACAGAAACTGACATAAAGGGAGAAGCTGACACAGAGGGACAAGCTAACACACACACACAGAAACTGACATAGAGGGAGAAGTTGATACACATAGGCAGTTGCTGAGGCCACAGGGAGCTCTGGGGCTGGGACTGCCTTTCAGAGCTATCCTGAAAAAGGCAAGGGATGGCCCTTTAAACTATCACCCCAACCAGGGATTGGCTAGAGACTCCTTCTTCTGTCTTCCCTGGGAGGGGCCGAAAGCGTGGGCCACGCGGTACCTGCAGCAAAGGGTGGTTCCCAGTGAGGGAGAGCATCAGCAGCTGCTGGTACCCTAGCCCTGAAGAGGGGGCCTGCCAGGACTGTGTGAAGATTCGGGAACTAATGGAGAACCAAGCAGAATTGCTGCCCACATGGGGCTTTGGGGCTATATTTGGTCTCTGTTTACCTATTTGGTCTCTCCAGCCAGCTTGGCAGCCTTCCTTGGGTCAGAATGTTCTCATTAGAAGAGCTCATAGTTGGTGCTTAATAAGAGTCTATTGGATTTCATGACCAGTAATGCACCCAGGTCCCTTTCTGGGTCTCTCTAAAGTGTCATCACCTGCTCATTCAAAAGAACGAGCCCGTTTTTCGTGGGCTAAACCTGCACATGATTATTTTTTTAGACTCAAAAGAGAAAAAGGAAGCAAGCCTGTAGAGACAGAACCTAATTAAAAAACATCCCGCACAGCAGTTGAAGTGAAGGTTGGCTGGGACCAGGCCTGGTCAGGGCCGGGCCTCGCAGCATCCACCAGAACGTTGCCAAAGGGGGAAGATAGCAAAGACACCCTGATTAACTCTCCCAGGGATCTGCAGCAGGATGGTCATTTTGAAGTTTTCCTGGGAAGCTTTGCCACCAGGTGTAAATCTAGCCCAAGCTCTGCACCTGCCAAATTCTCTATTGTTTCACACTCCAAGTCCTGACATTACCAGGTGTAGCCTGATTTATGATGGGGCTATAAAGACTGATCCCTGGCAGTTCCATGGCAGGGCTGCAACCCACATTCTCCTCCACTGTCCTCATATGGGTATCATTACCCATACTAATCGGAATATGAATTCTGTGTCTACCTGTGACTGCATTTTATAGTACAAAACGGTTTTACTTTCATTATTCCCACAGGTCCCACAATGGGTCTGGCTATGTGATCGTGAGGAATTTGTTCAACCTCTCTGGGTCTCAGTTTACCCATCTTCAAAACGATAATAGAACCTCAGAAGGAGTTGTAAGGGTTAAACCGTATAATACCTGTGAAGCCCTTAAAATAAAGGCTTGAAATTATTGACAGGAATTTCTAGTCTCACTCTACAGGAGAAGAAACCAAGATGCAGAGAGGTAAAGTTGATGAGTAAGATGCCCGGGTACCAAGGAAGGAAGGTGCTGTGGGACTAGATGCAAACCGAGCTAGGCATTCCTGTGTGGGATTTCTATTGTGAACAACATAGGTGTCTTTCCCGCTGGGGAGCAGAGGAAATACGGACTCCTCAAAAGAAAAAAAGAAGAGATAAAGGGATGATGTTGCTAAGAAAGAAATTTGGAAAAAAAAAAAAAAAAAACCAACATTTGCACTTTTAAAACCATGGAACCCTTCTTATTTTTATATGTTCAGGTCTAAATGCCAGAAAGGATACCATATTCAAAGGGAATGAGATTTGAAAACGATTTCTTTGAGTCCTCTGCCGAGGTCTTTCCAAGGCACTGCAATTAGGGTTTTGCACCCAAATACCCTTGCCTCATTTTGGTCGTTTTGTCCCGAACAGAGGTTCAACTGGGAGACCCCCTCACACACAGGTGAAGGCGTGGCCGTGGAACCTCAGACCCCCGGTCTCCTCAGAAATGAAGGTCATTGCCGTCCTCCTCCTCCTCTTCTCCTGCTGTAAGTAGAGGGCTTGCTGGGACAGCACCAGGCTTCTGTCTTCCTGTTTATGTCAGTGGGAGGGGGGACTCGCCAGGTGGTACCAGGTGAAGGAAGTCACAAGTCACTCAGAAAAGAATCAGGAATGGGCCGGGCGCGGGGGCTCACGCCTGTAATCCCAGCACTTTGGGAGGCCAAGGTGGGCGGATCACAAGGTCAGGAGATCGAGACCATCGTGGCTAACATGGTGAAACCCGGTCTCTACTAAAAATACAACAAGTTAGCCGGGTGTGCTGGCGGGCACTTGTGGTCCCAGCTACTCAGGAGGCTGAGGCATGAGAATGGCGTGAACCCAGGAGGCGGAGCTTGCAGTGAGCTGAGATCACGCCACTGCACTCCAGCCTAGGCGACAGAGCAAGACTCCGTCTCAAAAAAAAAAAAAGAATCAGGAATGGAACGGGCTCCCCCCAACGTCCTCTTGCTTCTGTTTCTGCTATGAAATGGGCTGATCCCAGTGTTGGGATTTTATAAAGTGTCTAGGAAATCAGAGGTTGCCAACCATTTGCTAGAAAGGGAGTTTGACTACTATTTTACGCCCCTCTCCCCCAAGAGTCTCTTTTCCTTTGGATGCTAGTAACCTTTATTTAAGGCCATTTGGATTCAGAACAAAAATGCAGACATACATCCAGCTAATTTAAGAATGATTAATGCTTATCAGAAAGACATTTTTATGGTGACTTATGGGATAATTGGTAGCTATAAGTCATTGCTTATTGCTTACCTCTGCAAAGTGAAAAAAGACCTACTGGGAAACAGTTTGGGGTCTACTGGAGACTCACAGACTCCTTTGCTGGATTGGTAGAGTGGAGGTTTGTCCAGATCCATTTTCCTGTCTCTTTCAATTGAGTCACAATAACTTTTGAGTCCCTAAGTCAAAGATGTCAAAAACAGACTTCCTTTCCCCGCAGTGAGTAGTGGAACTTACACTTTTCAAGGTGATAGTGCAGGAGGATACCCGTATGCAGGGATGACCGCCTCTGCAGCCCCTCAGTCTGAAGATCAACCCCTGAGTGCGGCTCCAGGGACTGCTTGGGCAGCAGTGACCACCCCTGGGCTTCTTCCCCTCACACCCCTATTTAGACTAAACACAATAGTGAGATCGAAGGCTCCTGAGCAAACTCCCCCAGACTCTATTCTGTTTCTCTTCTTCAAGTTCATGTCTTTATTGTATTTTTATTGCAAATTTACAACATGCTTATAATTAAAAAGTAAAATAAATGAGTATATAGCAACAAGGTAAAGCTCCTCCTCATCCTCCCCAGACCCTAGTGTTTTCCCTACCTCCAGAGGTGACCACTCTTAAGAGTTTGATATACATCCTCTATACAACCTTTACACACACATATGTAAAACACCATAATAGAAATGGAACACATGCTGGGTCAGATGCGGTGGCTCATGCCTGTAATCCCAGCACTTTGGGAGGCCGAGACGGGCAGATCACCTGAGGTCAGGAGTTCGAGACCAGCCTGGCCAGCTGGCCAAGATGGTGAAACCCCGTCTCTACTAAAAATACAAAAAATTAGCCAGGCGTGGCAGTGGGCACCTGTAATCCCAGCTAATTAGGAGGCTGAGGCAGGAGAATTGCTTGAACCCGGGAGGCAGAGGTTGCAGTGAGCTGAGATCGCACCATTATACTCTAGCCTGGGCAACTACAGTGAAACTCCATCTCAAAAGAAAGAAAGAAAGAGATAAAGAGAGAGAAAGAAAAAGAAAAGAAAGAAGGGAAGAAAGAAAGAAAGAAAGAAAGAAAGAAAGAAAGAAAGAAAGAAAGAAAGAAAGAAAGAAAGAAAGAAGGAAAGAAAGAAATAAAGAAAGAGAAAGAAAGAAAGAAAACACATACTTATTGTGCAAAGACATGAGACAGCAGAGATGTATATAAAATGAATGTTGACTGTTTCTTTCTCTCTCTTCAATCCCAATTGCCTAGAGATAGTGCTATCAAGTGTAGTTTATTTTTGAGACACATAATTTTGTTATTATCCCCCTGTCAGCGGACATGTGGGTGGTTTCCAATTTTTTTATATCACAGATAATGCTTCAGCAAACCACTTTGTGTATGCATTTGTGCCCACTCTCATAAGCATCTTGTAGAAGCAAAAACAGATGAGTTCATGTGTACTTGCCTTTTAAAAAATAATATTTGAGGATACCTTTCCTGCCTCTTAAGTATTTTGTTTCTCCTGTAAGATAGTAAAGGCCTGATGACATCTGGAGGGACTGGCATTTCTGGCTTTGAACTTTTCCCATTCATGTTCCATCAGACCCGAGGGTGTTCTGCCTAGGACAGTGGATTCCAGCTTTGAGGGGGAAGACTATGGTTGATGGGAGAGCCTTGTTCCGAACCTCATGGGAACTGGGTATTCATCCGGGTTAGCAAAAAACTAGCTGTGTTAGAGGAGCAAATCTGAACTTATTTTCTTCCCCAGGAAAAGGGCTAATGATTCCAGCCATGACCTTTGCACTTCGCTTTGGGGATCTGGTGATATTTCGAATTTTCAGCATTCTAGTAAGGGGAGGGGACATCAAGGCAGCATCGTGCTCATTGCAACTTCCTTCTTCCTTGTTTCCTCATCAGCAGTGGCAGCCCCCACCCACAGCAGCTTCTGGCAGTTTCAGAGGATGGTCAAACACATCACGGGGCGGAGTGCCTTCTTCTCATATTACGGATATGGCTGCTACTGTGGGCTTGGGGGCAAAGGGGTCCCTGTGGATGACACTGACAGGTGGGTGCAGAGGCTCTGAGGCCACCTATCATTTGTTTTGCATTAAAGTTCAAGCTCGAAGCCAGAGAGAGGGTGTTAGAATTCTTGCATGGCAAGTAACAGAAAACAGTTCAGGCTAATGGAAGGAAGAACTGAACGGGATTCGGAGGATGGGTCTTGAGAAACCCAGCGTCGGGGCCAGCTTCCTGAGTGTGTGATCTGTGAAGTTTCACAGGGCCCAGCACTCATAAAGGCCTAAATGTGGTCTACTGCTCTGCTGCCGCCATCTTGAAATTCTGAATAAAGGGCCCCACGTTTTCATATTGCTTTGGCCTCTGCAATTATGCATCGGTCCTGCCCAGAGCTCTAGAAGCTGTTTCATCTCATAGTAAAAGTGCTCTGCTTCCAGCTCTCCAGCTTTTAGGACTATAGGCACAGCACAACTGACTCACTAGTCCTACTTCCATATTCTAGGAGAGGGAATCCAAGTGGCCCAGTTTGGAGAAGTTGTCCGTCTGGGTGAGGTTGCATGGCACAAACCTGCTTCCCAGGCCTGCTCCAAAGGATGGGGGTAGGGGAGTGTGAGTTCCTAGAAAAAGTAGAAGTGGGTGTCATGTGGTGAGTGTGTGTGTGGGGAGGTAAGAAACGGGACAGTTTGCGTGTCATTTCATTTGAAGAAATAAGAAAGCAAAATGTTCCTTGCCACATTTAACCTAGTGTGGAGAAACATGTCCCCACAGTGGGGCGTTAAATATCACTCCTGGAGCTCAAGCCTTGTGGGTTGGGCTCATGGAACCATGGGAGGACCTCAGAGCCCTGGAAGGTCAACTGACACTTACAAAATGCCCATTATATGCCAAGCACTGGGACTGGCGATTGGCACACGAACCTAATTTAATTCTTTCAGGGAATGCACAAGACAGTGATACCAGCCCATTTGACAGTTGAGGACAGTGAGTTGCTAAACCACTTCCCGAAGGCAATGCAGCTTCTAAGTGGCAGGGTTAGAATTGAACAAGAATTTGCCTGTTTCAAAGTTTGTCCCCTCTCCTTGATGGTCTGTAGCTCTGCTGTCAAAGTCCAAAGGCTGATTAGAAATTGAACATCATTAGCCAAAGCTGATCAACAGCAGAGCCCTCACTTGCAGATGGGAATGGCGAGAGAGGGAGACTGAAACATTTTTCTTGGCCTTTCAGGCCTTAGAATCCAAGCTTAAGTTTCTGCCTTCCTGTGCCTTCAGCAGTGGCTGAGGACTTGGACTGAGCCCATTCTCCAGATGTTATTTCTCCTGCAGTGCTCTCCCATCCAGCCCCCAGCCAACTCTGGGTGCCATGAGTAGGACTACCTCTGCTTTTGCAGACAATTGTCTCCTCAGAGACCATCACAGTGCCTGGCTCACAGTAGGTGCTCAGTAAAAAGTGTTAAATGCGTGAATGGACCCAGATTTGTGTCCTGGGTCTGTCATTTTCCAGCTGCCTAAGTTTGGGAAACGGGCCTCTCTGAATCTCAGTCCCTCCCCTACAAAAGGGAGACAATGATTATACTTCATAGGTTTCTATGAGTAGCTAATGAGATAGCAACAGATACTAGAGAGGGCTCAGGAAATGCTACTGGTTATTATTATTTATTTTATTTTATTTATTTTTTGGAAGACGGGGTCTTGCTCTGTTGTCCAGGCTGGGGTGGAAAGGCTCAATCACAGCTCACTGCAGCCTCTGTCACCCGAGCTCAAGCAATCCACCCACCTCAGCCTCCTGAGTAGCTGGGACCACAGGCTGGTGCCACTATGCCTGGCTTTTTTTTTTTTTTTTTTTTTTAAACTTAAAAAACATAGGAGGTATCCCTGTGTTGCCCAGGCTGGTCTCAAACTCCTGGACTGAAGCGATCCTCCTGCCTCATCCTCACAAAGTGCTGGGATTACAGGCATGAGCCACCACATCTGGCCTATTATTATTATTATTATTATTATTGATAATTCACCTCCCCACCTTCAATGCCTTCCTGCCTAGAGGAGGAGGCAGGTGAGCCCTTTCTAGTCCCCAGATAAGGTCCTCCAGCAGATTCCCAAGGGGCCCACTTCCAGGCACAGCCCCTCATTTCCCTCTTGTCTCGCCCCAGATGCTGCCAGGCACATGACTGTTGCTACGAGAAGCTGAAGGAGTCGAGCTGCCAGCCTGTGTTGAACGGCTACCAGTTCCACATCGTCAATGGCACAGTGGTGTGTGAGTAGCCTTTTCTGTGTGGAAATGTCTTTTAACCTGGGCCTTTCCTTAACATTCACCTCCTGTTTGACCCAGAGATGTTTTAGAAAATGAAATGCTTCCAAGTGCGTCGAAGGAGGCAATCCTGAGCTTTTCCCTGATGCTCCAGAGCTTCTCGGAGTGTCTGTGCTCATCTTGCCCTGGTCTCTCCCACCCGTGGGTGTACTTCCTGAACTCTCTGGGAGCCCAGAGCCCTGCAGATAGTACATGCTGAATACATACTTGTTCACTTGAGCTTATACTGAATTTTGAAGCTTCCCTTGACAACTGTTACTGTTGATAACATGTTTCCTTGTTTCTGTCATGTGTTAACAAAACGGCTCAGCTGTCTTCCAGTTGGACAAATATTTATTAAGGGTGACTGTATGCCAACCACTAAGATAGGTGCCGCCAGGGCCACAAAAGCAAATAGGTGGGAAGGGAAGGGGGACTCACGTGTTATTGAGACCGTTCAAGGAGCCATGTGGACAAGTGGATCAAGTGCCCTGCACATGGGGCGTAGCCCTGGCATCCGGGGCGTGTTCTGCTGCTGGTAGGGTACGGGTATGTGCATGGCAATCCTGGTCTAAACAGCAGGCACATTCGGAGGCACTGGGCAGTGGCCTTTGGTGAGTACCATCCTTACCAGCATAGCCAGGGTGGGTCCTGGGGTCCCGGGCTGGGAGGGTGAAGAGCACCGAATAAAGAAGTGGCCCCTTACAGCGTGTGGCTCACTTCCTGCCTGGCCTCGTGGGGTTGCATGAATCGCTTTCCTTCCCAGGTCTATTTGTTCACAGCTGTGAGTGCGTCTTGGAGTTCCTCTGTTTCCTCTTGAGGTCAGGGAACCACCACCTCTCCGCCACTCATTCCCTAGGGCGGGAGATACATCCTCCATCCCGTGGTGGGTTCCAGGGCTCAGACTTCCGGTCTCCTGAGCTCCCCGCACCCACCACTCCAGCTCAGCACACACCAAGACCCAGAGTTAGGACTGTGAAGTCTCCCTGGAACCAGCTGTGTGGGTTGGGGCCTTGGACCCCTACACCGGGAGGACCTGCCTCAGTTTTCAGCCTGCTTCTTGGCCTGCACTACCCACTGCCACCAGGACGTGGTTGACAGGAAAAGAACCTTCTTTTGTTCCCCATGTGAGCTCAAGGAGACTGAGTTGGAGCTCTCTGGTGTGGTCCTTCTCAGGCCTAAAGCAAAGTGTCTTTTCTGTGACACCTCCAAGGCCATGTTCAGGAGAGGGGAAGGGATCAGGGTCTGGTGGGAGGGCTGGGGAGAGGGGACTGGAGAAGTTGGCTGCCAGGGACCGAGTTTCCCATAGCCTCTTCCCGCCCGTCTTTGCCACAGGGGTGAGGATGCCCGGCTGGCCCAGCCCAAGCCTCCACCCTGGGCTCCTGTGGACTGACTGCACTTGCCAGGGCTGGCCTGGGCTCTCTGTACCCAGGGAAACTTCTCTATTCAATGCTCTTCACCCTCCCAGCCCAGGACCCCAGGAGATGAGGGAGAGTGGAGCAAAGTTTGAGGAGCAGAGGCTGGAACCCCAGGTAGTGGCACTGCTGGGCGATGGTGGAAGGTGCCGGCAGAGGCTGGGAGTTGGACCAGAAAGTACATGGCCTGGGCTATACTTTCTTCCCACGTTGCCCCTGCAGAGCAGAAGCAGTTGCTCCTGAAGCCTTGATCAGGGCTCCTGAGTCCAGAGCCCTGCTCAGGGCACTAGCGTGGGAGGAGGCTTCCGCATCAGTACCAGGGCATCAGCACCCGCCTCCCCAGCTGACCCAGCCAGTGAGGACCAGGCCAGCCTCTGTCATCCCCATCCCCACCTCGCCAAGCCCCTGCCCCCAGGAGCAGGGCTGAGAGCCAGGTGATCTGGGTTCTAATCCAGAGTCTGCTGCTGACACGTGCTGAGCCCCAGGCCATTGATTTACTTGCCCCAGTATTGAGTGGGCATCCACTGGGTACCGGCCCAGTGCCAGTGCTGTGCCAGGGGCCAGGGGCACAGAATAAAGCAGACCCAGTCCCTGCTCTTCTGGCGTTCACAGTCTTGTGGAAACTCCAGAGCTAAAGTGCCCTTAGAGATCATCCAGATCAGTCCCTCATTGTAGCAATGAAGAGACTGAGACCCACAGAGAGGACAAGTTTGATCCGAGAAACGGACAAGATTAAGATGCATGTGTCTTGAAACTTTTCAGTGCTCTGGAACATACCGTCTGGCCTGAGTTGTGTGGGCTTTTGTTTTCTCATCCATGAAATGGGTACAATAACAGCAGCTATAGTGTATGAACCTCTGTGGTAGATGCTGTACACACAGCACCTGAACTCACATGATAAACCTCTGAGGTGAGCATTATCTCCCGTTATCAAGGAGGACTCTGAGGCTCAGAGAGGTTAAGCACGATCGCCAAGGTCACACAGCCAGGGAAAGAAGAGCTGGGATTCAAACCCCAGGTGCCCTGTCTCACACCAGCTTCCCCTGTGGAGGGTGCTGTGTGTGTGCATGATTGGAGGCCCTCACACAGTGTAAGTCTCAGGATCTGCAGCAAACTGGTCAGAATGCTCTGCCCTGGCCCAGGGAAGGAAAGAGGGGCAGATGGAGTTTGCTTCTCTGTAAGGCCCCGGAGCTTTGTGTTCCTGCTGAGAGGCCTCGGAGTCAGGCAGCACTGGGTCTGATTCTAGCTCCACCCTTTGTATTAATAGTTGTATTAATAGATTAATGTATGAATCTCCTCACCTGTGAAATGGAGATAATGCCTGTACTTCATAAGGCTGCTGGAAGGATTAGCTAAAGCAGCCCAGCTACAGGGGCTGGCTTACAGTAGGTGCTTCATTAATGCCCTTCTTTTCAGATGTAGAAATTCCTCTTTTTGTCCAAGTTTTCTTTTCTTCTTTGCTTACAGCACTGGGATTTTCTTTAATACTGTTTGTTTGAAGAGTCTGCTCTGTACTTGTGCCCACTGGGCTAAGGTCAGTGACCCCTTATGGAATAAAACCCCTTTCCTGACCAGGCACGGTGGCTCATACCTATAATCCCAGCACTTTGGGAGGCTGAGGTGGGGGGATCACTTGAGCCCAGGAGTTCAAGAACAGCCTGGGCAACACAGTGAGACCCCCGTCTCTACTAAACATGCAAACGTTTAGCCAGGGGTGGTGGTGCATACCTGTAGTCCCAGCTACTCGAAAGGCTGAGATAGGAGGATCACCTGAGCCCGGGAGATGAGGCCACAGTGAGCTGTGGTTGTGCCACTGCACTCCAGCCTGGGCAACAGAGTGAGACCCTACCTCAAAAAAGAAAAAAAAACAACAAAAAACCTATTTCCCTATCCTAATTGCACCTCCGTTCAAAGAGCTGCCCCTGCAAGAGTTAACCATCTCCCTAGCCTCCCCTGAATTCTGAAATCCTGCACCCAGGCCTGGTCCAGGTTGCCTAGCAACCAGGGGCTGCTCTGGGATGCAGTAGGTAAGCAGGGGAGGGAAAGGAAGAAAACAACTTGGTCTGTCCACAACTCTAAATGTCACTGAGAGATCAGTGCAGAGAAAGGCCTGTCACCAGAGCCCAGGGCCCAATTTGCCTGGTGGTGGGGACAGCTGCCCTCAGGCCACCTGGGAAGTGGTTACCCCTCCTTTTAGTGGGCTTACATAAGTACTTGGCATTTTTCCAAGGGACTTTAAGCTCACTCAGCAGTGACACCCCTCCGCCCACATGCACATACATGTGTGGTACAGGGAGGACCCTGTGTGGGAGGCAGAGATGGGGTTTCAGCCAACTGAACCTCTATTATCTACATCTCCCGGCCTCGGACTGCCTCCCTCTGCCAAAGCGGGAAGATGAAAATGGCAACTGCCGGAATTTGTATTTTGCAAGGACTTTTCTCATTTACTGCTGAATGTATTCCTCATCTCAGCCTCCACTCACTGACACGCTACCCACCGTCTCTCCCAGCATTCATCTCTGCCTGAAATGATCTTGTTTACTTCTCTGTGTCTGTGTGCATCGACTCTCCCCCCAGCTAGAAAGTTCCGTGAGAGCAGGGAGCAAGCCTGTCTTGTTTGAGGGCACTGGTTCTCATAGAGCCCACAGAGAACCATACCTCTGGACTAAGCAGTGTGGGGGCTGCTGGCTTGCACCTCTACTCCCAGCTCCTAGCCACAGACCGGACACATGTTGGGAGCTCAATACTTGTTTGTTGAATGAGTAGATGAACAAAAGCACTCATGAAATAGGCAGTGCACGTATCTTTACCACCATTTGAAAGCTGAGGAAACAGGCTTGGAGAGGGAAGCAACTTGCCTGAGACCCCAAAGCACAGAAGCAGCCTATCTGGCCCAAGAACCTGGCTTCCTGTCTCCTAGGGCTCAGCTGCTGGCACTGGCCTGTAGGCCATGTGAGTGTGGCCAGTAAGGTGGTCAGGAAGGAGCCCTTACTGCGTGTTAGGGCCAGGAGATCAGCAATGAGGAGGACAAAATCCTTGCCCGGAAGGAGCTTGCATTCCAAAAAGAACAAGAGACCGTAGCGTATTTATTAACAAAGACACATTCAGACAGGGCCAGGTGCTCTGAAGCACCTCAGACAAAGCGACAGGCTGCAGAATGACAGAGGTCGGGGGTCAAGGAGACAGAAGGGTGCCTGCTTTAGGTGGTCGAAGAAGGCCTCTCTGGGGAGGTAGTGTTTGGTCTGAGACCTCAGGGCCAATGTGCTAGGAGCAGAGGAGCCTTGGGAAGAAGGGAGATGAGGTTGGACAGGGGGAGACACGCGCCTTCTATGTCAATGCAAGGGAGTCATTAGAGTGTGTGAAGCAGAGGATGCTCTACTTTTGCCCCAGAAAGATCACTCTGGCTACGGTGCAGAGCAAGAAGAGTCAGGGAGGAGAGAAGGGCCCCATTAGGGGACTGTTGCAGAGCATTGGGAGGCACAACCACAGCCGGGATCAGCACGGTGACAGTGGGGATGGGAAGTGTCAGATGCCGGGAATGCTGTGCAGGTAGGGTCGGGGCCGGCAGGACCTGCTGATGGGTTCAGTGTGGGGTGTGAAGGGAACAGAGGCTGCATCCCAGGCTCCTGGCCTGAGTGGCTGTAGATAGTGGCACCAAATACTGAGTTTGTGAAGATGGGGGAAGAGCTGATGATGAAGGCAGCAAGAGTTTGGCGTCAGTCACCCTGAGTTTGAGACACGTGTCAGACACGTAAGGGGAAGGCAGGTGGACACGTGCTTATTGAAGTCCGGAGCCCAAGGGAGAGGTGTGGGCTACAGCGGAGAAATTGGTAGTATTCAGAGTTCTGACACTGAACAAGAACACCCCTGAGAGAATTCGGAGACAACCAGGGCTGAGGCGAGGGGCTCAGACCGGGACCTGGGCCAGCCACAGGCAGGAATGCAGACTTGTTGCCTCCTCTTATTTGTGGAGATGTAGTTCATGCAGCAAGAAAGGTGTTCTGAAGCCCTCCTTTCCTTTCTTCATACCTCAGTTTCTCCATTAGCACATTAAAAGATGCAAGGTCTGGAGTTAAGCTTGTTTTTAAAAGGCAGCTTCTAAAGATGGTTTTTCTTGGCCTGGGACTGTCTCATCATCCAGGTCATGAAAGGCCCGGTCCATGGTTGAGAAATGCCACAGAAGCGACAGTCCACCGCAAAAGACTACTGCTCCAGATCAATTCTGGAAGGCCTGGGGATGAGGCAGGTCACTGAAGTAGAACTGGATGTCAGATGCATGCATTAGAAAGGACAGGAAGACCAAATGAGAAAGGGAGAGGGGGCAGGGAGAAAGGAAGGAGGGTTAGAGACTCGAGACGAAGGAAACAAGAGATGGAGAAGAAGGGAGGACCAGAAGACAGTGAGATCAACAGAAAGAGAGAGGGATGAGAAAGAAGGTGGCTGAGGAAGATGAGAAAAGTTTCCAGGGCGACAGCAACTGCACCAGGCCCTCTGGTTGGACAGTGAGGCTAGCTGGGGGGCCTGAGTTCAAGTAACCCTCACCCCCTGAGAGAGTGGGGGGCTACCTGGGGAACTGGGCTTGATGCATCTGGAAGGATTTTCACAGAGGCCGGAGGGGGAGTGGGAGGGCAGAGGGCACCCAGGCGCTACAACAGTGGGAGCAGCGAGAGCCGCAAAACCGGAGAGCCAGAGGAGTGAACATCCCTGGCAGATTTCCTGCGGGCGAGCAGAGGGGACAGGAAGCTCGGCGGTGTTGGCACAATGTGAGAAGTTCCAGGGAGGCGTGGGAGGACGGCTTCTGCAGGACGCAGACTTTGCAGAGGGAGAGTAGCAAACAGACTGACTGCAGCCAGCTCGGCCGGCTCCACAGGGTGCTGCTTTTTCTCCATGTGAAGCTGGAGTGCATCACCCTGAGAATAGCAGCAAGCACCCATAGGGCACCTTCTTTGTGCCAGGCACATGCAGACCACTCGTCGGTAGACACCAGCGATCCTCACCACCACCCCAGGAATGGGACACTGTCATGTGTTTCTGAAATGATTAGGTTTTAGCAGCATTTCATAGACGAGGAACCTGAAGCTAACTTGCCCAAGGTCACAAACCAGGGCGTCTGGTGGCCTCCCCTCCTCACTGCCAATCCTGAGAGCAGACTAGGGTGGAGTTATCTGGGTAGAGGAAGCTGTACCTGAGAGCCCTAAACACACACGCACACATATACACACATACATGCACACAACACATGCACACGCACGCACATACACGCACATGCACAGATGGACACATACCTGCACACACATGCATACACATACACACAGTGCTACAGCTCTGATTAGTAGGTAAATAAAACGTCCCCATCTAGTGGTGACTTGGCCAAAGTGCAGACACTCAACCCCAAAGGTCCATAGAGGCTTCATTCATTTCTTCTCTTATTCTTCATTCATGGTTTCTATTGAGCATCTGCTTTGTGCAGCATCTGTTCTGGATGCTGGGTACACTGTGATGAGCCAGATGAGGTCCCAGCAGCACACAGTTTATGCTTCTTTGAGGGGAGGCAGGCACAAGCCAGGAAACCAATAAGAGAAGTTCAGTAAAAAGCACAGTGAGTGAGACAAACGGGTATGGAGGGCGTGGCCAGAGAGAGCTTTAGTTCAGGCAGTCAGGAAGCGCCTCTCTGAGGAGGTGAAATGTGACCAAGCCTCAAACAGTGGCAGGGATCCCACCGCTTGCAGATCCTTGGGAGAAGCATTTTAGTCAAAAGCAACAGCAAGTCCAAAGGCCCAGGAACAAGGCAGAGCAAGACCTGTGACATGAAACAGCCTGGTGTGCCCAGAGCAGGGAGGCTGGGAGAGTGGAGGGGGAGGGTGATGAGGGTGGAGAGGCTGGTGAGGGTGGCATCCCGGCAAGTGTGCCTGGCCATGGAGGCCACGGGAGGAGTCAGCCTGTCTTTCCCGAATAGGAAACCACACTGGGGCTGTAAGCCAGAGAGTGAACGTAACTCAGGTTACAGTTTGAGATGGTCCCTGCTTATTTCGTTGCATGAAGGAGGAAGAGCTGTTGATGACAGGGATTTGGGCAGTGGCCAAAGAGATGGAGAGAACAGGGCAGAGCATGGGCTATTTTAAACACAGAGAAGATTAGCGGGAACTGCTGGCAGACCGGATGTGAAATGTGGAAGGAGCAGGAGCAGCGAGGTCGACTCCTGGTTTCCTGAGAATGTGGGTGAATCACGGGCCCACAGGCAGAGGGAGCACTAGGATGTCAGGGGTTCCCTTGTGAATGCCTCAAGTTGGAGATGCCTAAGACATCCAAGTGAGATGTCAAGCAGGCAGCTGGAAATAGGAGATGAGCTCTGGGAAAATGCTCTGTCACCCTGGCCTGTGCACTGCCCAGGTGAACTCACTCAGGGCCCCTCCATGCATCCCACACCCCCCTCCTCCTGCTTCCTTCTAGGCTTCTCCTCACTGCAGCACTCATGGGATGCTCAGATGTGATCAGGAAAGGGCTTGGGGATGCAGGGAAGCTGTGGCTGAGAGCCCTAAACACACACATGCACACGCACACACACATACACAGACACATGCACACACGAGCATACACACGCACACATGCACACAAATGCATATGCACACACATGCATACATGTATCCCTTTCAGTGGCTTTCCTTTCTGTCCTCAACTCTTGGCCCCTTGCAGTGAGCTCCCTGCTCTCCCCAGTCTTGGAACCAAACCCTGGGGCTGGGCTGGGAGCCCCCAGTGACCCTCTGTGTCTCTGCAGGTGGATGCACCCTTGGTCCTGGTGCCGGCTGCCACTGCGGGCTGAAGGCCTGTGAATGTGACAAGCAATCTGTGCACTGCTTCAAAGAGAGCCTGCCTACCTATGAGAAAAACTTCAAGCAGTTCTCCAGCCGGCCCAGGTGTGGCAGACGTAAGCCCCGGTGCTAGGGGCACCACAGGGTCCTCCTCGTCATCCAGCATCTGCTCTAGTGTTGCTCTTCCAGGAAGCCTTCTCAGATCATCCCCGACAGGCCCCTGTTCTTCCCCTGGGAGGGAGGACAAAATATCTCCTGCAGGGCAGCTCACCATTCAGCATTCTGACCAAGGGGACTCCTCAGCATCGGAGGACTGGAGAGCAGAAATGGGAAAGACGAGATCCCTGCCCTGCAGGAGCTGGCATTCTGTGGAGCGGGGAGGACTGCAAATGCGTGAATATAGAAGTACGAGACACATTAGACCATAGTAAGTGCTATGATGTAGTAAAACAAAGGGACAGGATAGGGATGCACCCGACCCCACATCCCAGGGTTTCCAAGAGGGGAGAGGCCCCAGGATCTACCCCAAACTCTCTCTTCACCCCAACTGCAAACCAGGACGCGGAGCAGACTTGAACGCCAGGCCCACACCCAGCTCTAGCTGGGAACAAAGCCACCACTTTCCTTGCCTCCCTGTGTCCTTACTTTTTATGATGTCATTCTTAGCTTTTCTTATCAAGAGGCAGAATCTGTTTTCCCCACCCTGAGAATCTGAACTGGTCTTGTGGGTTAGTTCGGTCAACAGAATGTTGTGGGAGGGATGGTTTACCAGTTTTGAGCTGGGCCTCAGGAGGTCTAGGGCACGTCTACTCTCTCTTAGGATAGCTGCCCCCACCCTGCGAAAAAGCCTGGGCTAGCCTGCTGGAGGATGACAGCCCACCTGGATCAGTTGTCTCAGCTGATTTCAGACACGTGAGAGAGAGCTCAGTGAGACTCAGCTTGTAGCTGACTACAAATGCATGAGGGAACCTGGCTAAGACCAAAACAACTGTCCAGCTGAGCCCAGGCTAAACTGCCAGCGTGCGGAATTGTGAGCTAAATAAAGGCTGCTCTTCTAAGTCACTGGGTTTTGGTATGGTTTGTTAGGCAGCCATAACTAACTGGTGTAATTGATCCTCATTCCCTTATTCACTGAGAGTGATGGGTTCTCAGCCCTGAGCTGGACTTGGAGGCCATGGAAATGTCGTGGACATGGCCTTTGTTCCTTACCTTGAAGGTGCGGAAGGAAGTCAAGTTCATGGAATAATGGAGAATACACAGCTGTAATTGTTTGCTTGTTCAGGCAACACACATTTATGGAGCATTTACTATGTGCCAGGCACAGTGCCAGGCAGTCGGGATTCAGAGATTTAAAGAAAACAAACACAAATCAGGTCTAAAACTCCTGGGGAGAATGCTGAGAGTGGTACCAGCTTTTAGGAATTCAGACACAAGATCTGGATTGAAAAATGGACAGATGTGACGACAGAAAAGGACACCAGATGGGGAGGGTCAGCGGAGGGTCTGGGGGCCCCGGCTCCTGCACTTTGGCTGGCTCAGCTTGTACTATCATGTGGGTGACTGGCCTGCTCTTCTCCCGCACACACACATGGGTGGAAATTGCAACTGCAGATGGGCAGCTTGAGGTTTATGAACATCAGGGAGATTGTTAAGCCGACTATGAGGGAAGCAGCTGTAGAAAGGTGGGCATGGAACCAAGATGGCCAGGCCCAAGCCAGCAGGCACCCCCCCACCTCGGGGATCCTGACCACCGCAGAGACCAGCTCCAGACTGTGAAAGTGCCTGGCTGACTGACACAGTGGAGGAAGAGGGGCGAGGGCCAGGCTTAGATGGGGGACAGGGTTCCCATGTGAGATACAGGCCATCTTTTTCAAAAAATGTTTTGAGACAGAGTCTCGCTCTGCCTTCCAAGATGGAGGGCAGTGGCACGATCACGGCTCACTGCAACCTCTGCCTCCCAGGTTCAAGCGATTCTCCTGCCTCAGCCTCCCAAGTAGCTGGGATTACACCCACCACCACGCCTGGCTAATTTTTGTATTTTTAATAGAGACAGTGTTTCGTCATGTTGGCCAGGCTGGTCTGGCACTCCTAACCTCAATTGATCCACCCACCTCAGCCTCCCAAAGTGCTGGGATTACAGGCAGGAGCCACTGCGCCTGGCCCCAGGCCATCTTTTTCACTCCCTCCTCTCTTCCATCCCCTAAACCTATAAGATAGAAATGATGGGCCCTTGATGGTATGCAAGCCCCATTTGTTTGGCACTGATGCCCTGATTCTCGGAGAGCTGAGGTGGGAGGGTAGAGGGATGTACAGACTCTCACTGGGAAAGCCTGCTGTCCTCAAAAGGAAATCATCCATTCCATGAGCACATGTTACTGAAGACCTACTCCAAGCCAGGCCCTCTGCGCCAGACTCCACGGAGCTCTCAGACCAAAGGGAAAACACGTAAGCAGGGGATTGCAGAACAGGCTGGGGGTGCTGGGATTGGGGTGGGCTTGGGGAACAATGCCCACCTCCTGGAGGGTGAGGGAAGGTTTCCTGAGGACTGCTGGGGGTCTGACATCCAATCTGAGACTTGATGAGGAGGACTTAGGAGGGCTGGTGGGGCCATGCAGAGCCTCCCAGGTTGAGGGTTGGGGAAAAGCAGCATATGTCTATGCAAGCTCCTTGTCCACCTGCCTCACCCATCTCTGCCGAGGGCTCTTCATCATTGGTCCCTGCAGCCCAATAACCTGGGTGATGAATTCTCATATTCTGCATCCCACACCCAATCTGTTGGCACTACCTACAAAATGCATCTAGATTCTGTGTTTATAAAATGTTTCCATCAAATGTTTACATGGAAAAAAGAGAGGGGGAAAAACCTAGAAGCTGGCCACTTCTTATGACTTTCACTGCCATCTTCTTGGGTGGGAGCCACCATCACTGGTGCCTGGGTCACTGCAGCTGCTCTATGCCATTCTCTCTGCACCCACACTCGGCCCCTCCATCTCTTCCTCACACAGCAGTCAGCCAGCAGTGACCGAGCCTGGCACTCTCTGCTCAGACCCTCGGTGGCTCCCACTGGGCTGTCTTTACAGTGCCACCCCTTCAAGTCCGGACTGGAATCGCACCTTCTTGATGAGGCTTATGCTGACCACCCTATTCAATCCTGCCCTCTCCCACCAGGGTTGCCCATCCTCTCTGCCCTCCTCCTTATTCATCTGATGAAAACTGGGGACCAGGGGAGGGGACTGGTGACTTGTTGTGGGTCACCAGCTAGTGCCCAGCAGGGCTGGAATGTGAACCCCTGTCTTCTGATTCCTGATGTCTTACTTCCCACCCACGTTCTCAAAATGAGGAAGTTGGCTCTGATGCCCTCTGAGTCTCAAGCTCTGGAGTTGGAGTTCAAACCCTGTGTTTGTTGCATGACCCTGAGTCATTTACTTGGCTCATCTGGGCCTCACTTTCCTCCCTGCAGAAGTGAAGCTATGAATAGTCCCCACCGTAGCAGGATGAGCCGCAGACAAAACCCCTCAGACACTGGGTTAAGGAAGGATTTGGCTTTATTCAGTCAGGAGCTTTGGCAGACTCTCATCTCAATGGCTGGGAGCTTCAGCAGACTCACGTCTCAAGAACCAAGCTCCCTGAAGACAGAGTTCCTGGCCCTTTTAAGGGCTTACAACTCTAAGGGGTTCCACGTGAAAGAGTCGTGATAGATTGAGAGCACATGTGGTTAGAGTGGGGGGTTAATCTTCTAACCTCAGGCCTGGTCATCAGTGGCACCGGCTAGTCTTGCCACTGACTTCACTTCTGTTGTTTTTCAACTTTTCCTTCCTCCTCCTCTTCAGAGACAGGAGACAGTAAGAGAAATGGCTTCTCTCCTCATTCCCCCCTTTGAGAACCTCACTCACTAGTGAGAGTTCTCACTCTCATCTTCACTACCCAGGTCTTCCTGCCAGTCCAGTTCCATTGATTCCTAGAGTTGCATACTGTCCTGTTTTCCAACAGGGATCAAGTAGTTCTAATGGGTTATAGCACACATCAGGCTGGTCACTTCCTGGGCTGCATACTTTGTACTGGGTGGCATTATACACACAAGTCCCTTTTAAACAAAAGGACTATTTTAACTTTTTGCCCTGTCTCAGTCTGAGGAAGGTCAATTGAAGTCCTTACTGTACAAGTCCAAAATTTAAGGAAAATGAGTCCAACAATGAGTTTCCTCATGCTTCGGCCATGTGCTGACTAGTCAATTTCTGGGTGTGACTGGAGCAGGGCTTGTCATCTTCTTCAAAGTCACCTTGCATGGGTTGTCCAGGCTTGGTCTCACCTCCCAGGTCTCAGATGCTACAGGTTTTAAATGGCTGTGGTGGATCCAGGCTGGGATTCCTTCTACTTTTACGGCTGTGGGACTGGTCAAAATGATGGTCTAGGGTCCTTTCCACTATGGCTGCAAGGAGGCTACGTTCTAATCCTTGATCCATACCCGATCACCTGGGGAGAAAGGGTGAACTGGGGAGAATAAGCTAACAGGGCACCTCTCATTTACCCAGGCTGAAATTGTTTGTGTAATTTTCCCTCAAACCTGTAGCTGTTGCTGTAACTCAATTTCACCTAGCTCTTGAGGAGTGCCCGGGAGTCCCCGTAGTATGGAGGGGCCTATGACATAATATTTCATAAGGGGAATATCCTGTTCTTTTAGAAGGGGTACATCTAATCTTAAACAATATCATAGGGAGAGCTTATACCAACTTTAATCCTGTTTCTTGACACACTTTCCCTAAACTATTTTTGATAGTCCGATTCATCCGTTCCACCTTTCCGGAACTCTGTCGTCGGTAAGTGGTATGTAGTCTCCATGTGATCCCCAATACCTTTGCTGTCTTCTGTACCAAGTCAGCTACAAACGCCGGCCCATTGTCCGAGCTGATTCGTAAGGGCAGTCCAAACCTAGGGATGAGATCTCGGAGAAGCACACGGGTTCCTTCATGAGCTTTCCCAGTTCGTGTTGGATAGGCCTCCACCCACCCAGAGTATGCACACACTAGAACTAGCAAATACTTGTTACCGCCACATTTGGGCATCTTGGTGAAGTCTACTTGGAGATCTTCAAAGGGGGCTGCTCCATAAGCTTGTATGCTGGGCGGAACGGTTGGACCTTGCCTAGCATTGTGCTGCCGGCAGGTGACACACTGCTGCACCACTGTTTTGGCAAGGGCTGACAGATATGAGATGTAGAAGTACTGGCCCAACAACTTTTCAAGTGACTCTTGGCCTAGGTGGGTGGTCTCATGCACAGCCAACACAACTGTGGCTCCTAGCAGTTGTGGCACGGCTATTCTTCTGTCCAATAACCGGATCCATCCCTCTTCTACCACCTGCCCTCCCTCTGCCTGGAGAAAGTCCTTCTCTTCTTTAGAATAAGTAGTACAAGGTCAGGTGCCTGAGGGAGCAGGGGGGCTGTGACTGATGCCCAGTACGGGGTGGATGCTGCTTTTCGAGCCTCTGAGTCAGCTCGGGAGTTCCCCGAGGCAATCAAGGTAGAAGCTCGCTGGTGTCCTCTGCAGTGCAGAGAGCACGGGCTTCCGTACTGCTCTGCCTCTAATAATTGCAGGATCTCTTGCTGATACTTTATGTGTTTTCCCCCAGAGTTCAACAGGCCTTTTTCTTTACATAAAACCCCATGCACTTGGAGGGTTAAGAAGGCATACTGAGAGACAGTATATATATTTACAGTCTTACCTTCACTTAGCTATAAGGCCCGAATTAAAGCAATGAGTTCGGCCTTCTGGGCTGAAGTACCCCGGGGCAACCATTTGGCTTCAATGACAGCGGCGTCCAGGGTTACCACTGCATATCCCGCACACCTCTCTCCTTGTGGGTTGACAAAGCTGCTCCTGTCCACATACAGTTCCCAGTCTACTGATGTCCAAGGATAGTCTCAGAGGTCAGGCCTGCTAGAATAAACTGTGTCCAACACCTCTACACAGTTATGTTCAACTGGGCTCTCTGATACAGGGAGTAAGGTGGCAGAGTTCAAGGTGTTGCAAACTTCAATGGTTATGTGGGGATTTTCACA